AGCAAGACAAAGAATTATGACCTCTGTCATAAGTGTGGAAAGCCAGGGCATTTCATCAAAGATTGCCCTCTCCTGAAGCAAGAACACTTCAAACATAACTCTGACAAAGCAGCCAAGAGGAACCCGGTTCTTGAAAATGTTTCAAAAGAAAGAACGCTGCAGACAATGTTGTGAAGCAAGCTCTTGCAGCATGGGGAGATTCTTCCAGCAAGTCTAAAGAAGAAGATGATGCAGGTGACATCTCAATGATGGCAGTTGAAAGTGAAGCAAATGAGTATGACTCAATATTTGCTTTGATGGCCCAATCAGATGATGATGAAGACGATGACAATGATGAGGTAAATTTTCGGGATGTTCAGAGAAATCTGAAGTCCTACTCTCCTAAAAAACTCATTTCATTAGCTAACGTGTTAATTGATGCTTACCATAGTCTTGTAAATGATAAGGATGCCTTAACTATGGAGTTAGGAGATGCTGAGCAAACTAGATATGACTTGGTAGTTTGTGTGGTTGATTTGAGGGAAACTATAGATAATCTGGAAAATGAAAAGGAGGTTCTAACTGAGAAAAGTACTAGTGTAGAACATGAAAGAGATGATCTGATGGTAGTAGTAGTTGACCTAAAAGAAACCATTGTGAATGTCAGTAAAGAAAAAGATGACTTAGTGGAGAAAGTAGCTATTATTGAGCAGGAAAGAGATGACCTCTTAGTGGTGATTGTAGACTTAAAGGAAAGAATAGAGGAACTCAAAGCTGAATGTAGGTTTTGGGAATTCTGGAAAAGGAAAATAAGTGGCTAGCGAGGCACATATTAAACTTGAATACGAGTTAAATGCTACAAAAACTAGTTTGTGTGCTGAACTTGAGAAAAATAGACAACTTCAAGTAGAATTGGAAAGAGTAAAAAGAGATCTTGAGAAGTCTCTTAAGTGGACCTGGTCCTCGGATGCTATTACTGCCATGTACGTTAACAATGGTGGAAACAGGCAGGGAATAGGGTTTCAAAGGGAGAGAAATCCTTATAACCCTCACAACAAGTACGTCACTGTGCTTGATAATTGGATGTGTACCCACTATGGGAACAATGGGCATTTCAAGGAAAATTGCCAAGCTAGGGTTCAGTCTCTTCAGAAAAACAAAGTTTTTGCTGAAAGAGGACCAGGTGCCACCCATAAAAAGCGCATGTTACCTGCATGGACTAGAAGAGCACTTATTCAACCCTTTTCTTATTACAAGGGACCCAAACTTGTTTGGTTCCTAAATCTAACCCTTGATTTCCTTGTGCAGGGAACAGTGAAAGGAAGCAGTCAATAATAGTTCATGGACAGTGGATGCTCAAAGCACATGACTGGGAATACCATGGACTTTCTTTCACTAAAAGCCTTGCAAGGAGGGAGTGTATCCTTTGGAAATGGCAACAAAGGGTACATTCTTGGTGTTGGAAAATCACTCACTCACTCAATTGAGAATGTGTACTATGTCAATGGTCTTAAGTACAGTCTCTTGAGTGTTTCTCAAATATGTGATAAAGGAAACAAGGTGGAGTTCTTGTCAAAGATATGCACAGTTACAAATCTAATAACAGGTGAAGTGGTACTTATGGCCAAAAGATACAAGAATATCCATGTTGCTGATTTCGAGTCCCTACAAAGTGGTGATCTGAGCCGCTTGAAAGCAGCTCATAATGATGCTGAATTGTGGCACAGGAGGCTGGGGCATGCAAGCTTCTCTCTACTGAATAAACTGGTTCAGAAGGACCTGGTTCGTGGTCTTTCCAAGTCAAAGTTCAAAGAGCACAAAGTTTGTGATGCCTGCGCTAGAGGAAAGCATGTAAAATCCCCATTCAAGCCAAAGAAGGATGTCAACACCTCAAAACCACTTGATCTCCTTCATATGGATCTGTGTGGCCTTATGAGAGTGCAAAGCAGGGGAGGAAAGAGATACATTTTTGTGATAGTGGATGACTATTCCAGATTCACTTGGACTCTGTTCCTTAGAACAAAAGATGAGACCTTTGAAGTTTTTGTAGCCTTTGTGAAGAAAATTCAAGTAAAGATGGAATGAAAAGTAGCACGCATTAGATCAGATCATGGAACAGAATCTGATAATGCTATGTTTGATGAATTCTGCAACGAGAATGGCATCACCCACAACTTTTCAGCCCCAAGAACTCCACAACAAAATGGAGTTGTGGAAAGGAAGAACAAAACCCTTGAAGAAATGGCAAGAACAATGCTGATCGATAGTGGGATTGCTAAGAACTTCTGGGCTAAAGCTATCAACACTGCCTGCTACTTGGTGAACAGGTGCATGATCGGGTCTCTCTTAAACAAAACTCCCTATGAGTTGCTGAATGGAAGGAAGCCCAAGCTGACTCACTTAAGAACATTTGGGTGTAAATGTTATGTTCTCAACAATGGAAAGGATCAGCTTGGAAAATTTGATGCCAAGAGTGATGAAGGAATTTTTCTGGGGTACTCTTCTCAAAGCAAAGCCTACAAGGTATACAGTAAGCGGACTCAGTGTGTTGACGAGAGTATACATGTAAACTTTGATGAGTCCTATCTTTCTTGTGAGAAGAGCAAGAAGGATGATCAAGATAGAGAGCCTCTGCTAGTTCCGGGAGAGGTCATTGATATGGCAAATGGAAAGGCAGATATGATGAGTCAAGTGAAGGAGACAGGTGAAGACAATGCAATCTCATCCTCATCAGCCGGAGAGGAACCTGGTACAACAATTACAACCACTGAAGTTGAAGAAAGAGTGGTTGATGTAGTTCAAAGTACTCCGCAGGTAGTAGAAAGAAGGATACAAGGGAATCAATCAGGCTTACCCAGCTCCTCTACAAATGAAATTCAAGTGCCCAACTGGAAACACGAAAGCTCCCATCCTCTCGACAACATAATTACTCCTCTGGATTATGAAGTCCAAACCAGATCAAAAGCCAGAAATTCACTTGCCTTCTTAGCATTTCTCTCTCAAATAGAGCCCAAAAACATTAAGGAAGCCTTAAAAGATGTAGAATGGATCACAACCATGCAAGATGAGCTGCATCAATTCGAAAGGATCAAAGTATGGCACCTGGTACCTAGACCCTCAGATCGGACCATCATAGGGACTGGGTGGGTATTCAGGAATAAGCTTGATGAACATAGGAACACAACAAGGAACAAGGCAATGCTAGTGGTCCAAGGCTACAATCAGGAGGAAGGAATTGATTATGATGAGACTTTTTCTCCAGTTGCTCGTATGGAAGCTATCAGAATCCTCATTGCCTTTGCATCACATATGGAATTCACTGTGTTCCAAATGGATGTCAAAAGTGCATTTCTTAATGGTTACCTCAAGGAAAAAGTCTATGTAAAGCAACCTCCAGGTTTTGAATGTCATGAACACCCTGAATATGTGTTCAAATTGGACAAGGCACTGTATGGGTTGAAGCAGGCTCATCGAGCTTGGTATGAGAGGTTGTCAAAGTTTCTCTTAGAAAATAGCTTTGCAAGAGGAAAAATTGACAACACTTTGTTTCTGAAGAAACGAGGGAGGAACCTGCTCATTGTTTAGGTATATGTGGACGATATCATTTTTGGGGCAACAACTGATTCACTATGTGAGGAATTTGCAAAACTCATGGAAAATGAGTTTGAGATGAGCATGATGGGTGAGTTGAATTTCTTCTTGGGTCTTCAAGTGAAGCAGTCCACAAAGGGAACATTCATTAGTCAGCAGAAGTATATCAAGGAGCTTCTGAAGTGGTTTGACATGGAAGCATCAAAAGTGATTGACACTCCCATTGCCACTGCTACTCGACTAGACATGGACGAATCTAGCTCTTCTACGAATCAAACAATGTATAGAGGCATCATTGGATCTCTCCTCTATCTTACTGCAAGCAGGCCAAATATTTTTTCAGTGTTTGGATTATGTGCAAGGTTTCAGTCAAACCCCAAGGAATCTTATCAGAAGGCTGCAAAAAGAATCCTAAGATATCTTAAGGGAACACAGGACCTGGTTCTGTACTACGCTTCAAGTGATAATTTTAATCTTATTGGGTATGCTGATACTGATTATGCAGGTTATCTGGTGGACATGAAAAGCACATCTGGAATGTCTCACTTCTTGGGATCATGTCTTAACTCATGGGGCAAAAGAAAACAAAATTTAGTAGCTCTTTCAACAGCTGAAGTAGAATATGTTGCTGCAGCCTCCTGCTGTGCTCAGCTTCTATGGATCAAACAACAGTTAGAAGACTTTGGAGTGTACACTGACTGTGTACCTCTTTTGTGTGATAACAAAATTGCTCTCAATATGGCCAAAAATCCAGTCCAACATAAAATAACCAAGCACATTGATGCGAGACATCATTTTCTCAGAGACAACGTGGAAAATTGGCTTATCTGTATGAAGTTTTGCAGCACAGAAGACCAAATTGTAGATATCTTCACCAAAGCCCTGAGCAGAGAACACTTTGAGAGAAACAGGCTGGCACTGGGGCTAATAAAGCCTAGTTGAGAACCTGATTCCTACCACATGGCTATGAAAATCACATACAGGTAAAATTAGCTAAAGTGTTTTTCGGCCAAGTCTAACTCACTTCTATGCCGTTACAGGTAGACACATATGATGATTATAGAAGCAGCTGAGGCAATGCATGAGCGGTAAAAGAAGTTTGAGCATTTTTCAAAAGGGACTGGTCAGGAACCTGGTTCTTGTGCCACAGGTTTGTGGTCTTTTTCTTTTCTCATACATATCTCAAAAGAAAACAAAAAATAATGCCACATCATCAACCTTTTCAGACTCTATATGTCACGTCTTTTCGTTCAAATCCTTTCACTTCCCTCTGTTCATCTTCCCACACATCTACCGTCGTTTCAGAACTCGTTTCTCTATCCTTCATAATTGCCATTCACCTCATTATAACCCTCTCACTCCCAAAAATTAGAACGACCATCTCTGTCTTCCTCAGTGTCTCCAGAACCTTCAAGCAAAATTTCTCTACCATGGCTGAGGATCAAACAATCACTCCTACCACTGAAGAGAAAAACTTCGAGTCTTCTCCTGTAGAAACCACACCAGTCATCCCTTCATCCACCACTGTTCAAATACAAAACCCTAAACTAGTTTCTCCTTCACCCTCCATCCCTTTCTCTACTCCCTCTGACTCTACTCCTCCTCTAAGTGTTGAGAACTCAGACAACCCTAAGAATGAAAGCATCTCTCCTTGTTGCCTGAGTCACTCAAAGAACAGAGTAAAGATGACATTCCAGTTCCAGAGGAAAAGAGTAAGTCTCCATCGGCAGAAAAAGCTTCATCGATCAGTCGTGAAAGTGCTAAGGGCTTTAAGGAAAGTTCTGATCAGTCTACAGGTACTCCTATTTCTTCTGATGTTGCTCCTATGGAACCTCAAGAGAGGGAAGCCATAGAAAATATGTTGTCTATTACTGTTGAGGGAATTATTGGGAACGAAAGTTCCACCATGCCTGAGTCTCAGGGGGAAGAGACCCAGTCCTTGGTGAGAGAAGGTGCAATGGTGCTCTTTGAACAGCCTGCACTAGAAGAGACTACTGGGACCCCCCTTGATGGACCTGACCCCTCTCCTGAGGAAACATGTCAGGAATCATCTTCCCAGGTCAGTTTCGACCCTACTCCTTCTCCTCACTTTGATACTGAGCCCTTGGAAGTAGTGGCTCCTGTTATGAGGTCCAGTGATGAAGAAGATGAGGATGATGTTGCTCTAAGTGCATTAATTGTAGCAAGGAGGCTAGTAGCAACTCCTGAGCTCCTAAGCGACCTACCACAAGGTTGCAGCAAAAAGAGGCTTTTGAGTCTTTGCTAAAGAAGAGTAAGAGAAGTAACAGGAAGAAGAAGAAAAGGCTGGTGAAGAATGGTGAAACTGTGGTGACAATAATATCCCACTTGTGGAAGTTGATGAGGAAGCCACAGAGGAACCAAGTTCCTTGATCAAGAGGTCCCAGAAAAAGAAGCACTCTACTGAGAGTACTTCAAAAGAAGTTGTTGGAACACCCAGTGAAAAGTCAGTGAAAGATAGTGGCAAGTTGAAGAAAGTTATGGTAGAAGAGTCTCTGCTGATGAGGATGTGCAAATGAAATCTAGTGGGAAAGTTAAGTCCAGTGGAATGTCTGTGAAAAGAAAATTGGAGGATGTAAAAGAACCCGTTTCTGTGAAGAAGGCAAGAAGTGGAAGTATATATGGTAAAGAAAGGTTGAGGTGTCAGAAAGTGCTGTGGCGTCGTACTTTTGACCCTGAGATATCTGAGATGGCTGGAATGCGCCAAGTGCTTGAGATGGTTGAGTTTCAACAATGGGAACACCTATTCAAGGTGGATGTGCCCAAGGTATATGAGGAAGAGGTTCAAAATTTCTATACAGACCTCTTTACCGTTGAATCTGATTACATCTGCGCACTGGTAAATGGCGTAGAAATTGTTATGGAGTCAGCTGTGTTAGGAAACATACTTAAGGTTCCCGCTGAAGGTCTGTCTTCTGTTAGAAGTGTCTGTAGTTCAAATTTTAGGCATGCTATAGTTAAGGAGAGTGTTGTGCAGCGGAGGGATCGGGTGCATAAGAAAGCATTGCTTCCTGTTTATCTTTGCTTTTTGAAGTGGTGAACAAGGTTCTCCTCACGCGTGTCTTCAAATTCTTTAAAGTGCCTTTGGGATAGCCTAAGATGGGGAACAAGAAGCAGACTATCTCTAAAACTACTCTAGAGGAATGTGAGTGTCTTGACAGAATAAGAGGTATAGGTAGCACTTTAACGATCTCCCAGCTTATAAATGCTCAAAATAGTGCTACTGAAGAGATCAAAAAGCTGAAAGCAAGGAATGTCATATTAGAGACTCAGCTCAGTCAGGCCCAAGAGGCACTAGGATCCTCCAGTTCTTCAAATGCAGAGGTTGCTCGTCTGACTAAGGAGAATGCTGATCTCAGGAAACAAGTCGAGAACCTGAAAGAGAAACTGCTCGCTGAGCAAATGTCCGCCAATGCTTGGATAGATCTAGTTCTCAATACACTTGCTGCCTCTTCCATGCCCTCTTCCTTTAGTGTCCCCTAGGCATATCTCTCAGTGACCAGTGTTCAGTTTATCTCTCTCGACAGTGTTTTGATGATGTTGTGGTGTTTGTGTTTGTTTTTTTTGGTTTGTGGATGGAAATTATTAGTACTGCTCCCGTGTAAACAGTCCAAATCTGCTTTTGCTATAAGGCAACTGCTCATGTTTTTGTTGTTTGATGAAAACTCTCCTTCTTTTGATGTAAATGCTTATGTGTTTCTTCTTCTCTTCTCTATCATGTTGTGTGCACATAAGTGGCATGAGTTGACTGGGCTAGACTTCTTTATGCTATTTGCTTGTTTGTGCGTTTTTAATGATGCCAAAAGGGGGAAGAGTAGATAAAATTGAGGAGTTAAGAAGAAGCGGGGACTGATTCAGGGTGGAAGCACAAAGTCAGGGGGAACTTGTGAAGTTCCTGATACTTTATCTGGTTTTTGTTGCTCTAAATATGATTGTCAATTTTTAAGTTTGTCATCATCAAAAAGGGGGAAATTGATGGGTTTATAGTACCATAGATTTATGTTTTGATGATCTAACAAACTTACTGTCAAAGAACCAGATAAGAAATCTGATACACTTGGTACACAACTTAATCAACAGATTCAAGCTTATGTGAGTTGCTATGACTTCAGCAGATAAAGAATCAACACAGGTACCTGTCACACCACTCTTTGTACCCCCCGAAATATATGTATGTATGGGTTAAAGAGTTTTTCCAATTAAAGTGACAAAAACTTGAGTAGGGATTATTTTATTGTTCAGAGTCGCCACTTGGAATTGATTTTTTCGGTGTTCCAAGTCACCATTTATTTGAATCCCTAGTCAAAGGAAGGTTTGACTCTATTTTTATCGGTCCGCGAAAACAAAGTTCGGATAAGGAATTCTGTTGACCGGGGAGAAGGTATAAGGCATTCTCCGAGTCCCGTGGTTCTAGCACGGTCGCTTTATTGACTTAAACTTGGCTTGAATTAATTTTGGACAAACTGTGATTTATATTATTTTCATGTTGTACCTATCCGCTTTTATCTCTTGATTATTAGAGAAATCAAAGAATATTTTTGAATAATATAAAAAATGTCATAACCACGCTACGCGAGCGAATGCGTGATCGAATAAAAAATAATTAATTAATTTGTCATAATTGTGCCTCGCAAGCGAATCCGAAATCATGACAATCAATTATTTGTAATACTTTTAAAAAAAAAAAATACTACATTTGAGAAAATTAGCTCTTTAAAATTTACAAGTCAACCGTCGCGCTACTCAAGCGAATGCGTGATCGACGAAATTTATTATTTAATCATAACGGCGCTACGCAAGCGAATCCGCAGTCATGACAAACAATTGTTAGCAAGTTATTTACTTCTAGGAAAATTAATACATTCTAAGAGTTTAATTATTATTTTTTTTTGAAATTTATTAAAAGGTCAATTATCGCGCTACGCAAGCGAATCCGCGAGTTTGGCAAAGAGTTTATTAAACTAAAAAATCAACTGGAAAACTAACGAATATTGTATGACCTTGTTGAATTAAATTATTGAATGTTGAACATCACGTTACGCAAGCGAAACCGTGGAATTAGAGCGCACCTACTAATTGCCTAGCGTTCGATATAATTAATTGGAAGAAAGTGAGTTACTTAATTGGTATATAAAAAAAATCTGATTTTTATTTCTATTTTTCTAATCTTATTATTGAAAATATTATGCAAATAAATGTTGGACCAACTCTATCTATTTTAAAGGGATGGGCCAACTTCTTTGTTAAAAGGGGAAATGGGCCAGCTTGTAAAGACCTCTTGGGCTGCTGGAATTTATTACTAAAAAATGGGCCAAGAAATGGATTTTTATTGGCCCAATGCTATATAGAAGAGAAGGGTAATTTTGTTGTTTAAGGTAAATGGGCCAGCTTTTATTTTTTGGTTCAATAAGGCCCAAAGTTGATACAATATTGGTTCTTTAACTTAGTTTGCATTTATGACCATTAACTACATAGCCACAATTGTATAAACACACACTTTACAAAAATAGCCACTTTTGCAAAGCTGGAAAAATGGCCAGATTCAAAAAAAAAATACTTTACAAAAATAGCCACTTTTGCAAAAATGGCAAAAATGGCCAGATTCGAGAAAAAAAAACAGCAATCCTAGAAGCAATGTTGCATTGAAATTTCAGCAACTAAAACAAACTCATGCTATGTGTTATACACCTAAAGTCATTCATGGCATACTTAACGTTGTTACTCGAATACAATAGCTTGAAACATGACTTAAAAACTCCAATAAAACCTACTGACATATCAACTTATTCCC